CGCAATGGTGCGCAGTGTGTGTGTGTGTGTGTGCATGTGTGTGTATGTGTACGTGTGTGTGTGTGCATGTGTGTACGTGTTCAGTGGACAGCGTGCCTTAACCTGCTCTCTTTCACGCCCCTGCTCGCTTCCTTTAACGCCCTTGCTTGCTTCCTTTCACGCTTGCGTCGTATCAACGCTACCACAAAACGTCACACTCACCACCACCACCACCTCCTCCTCCAACCTTCTGTTGCACATGCGCAGGCGGACGAAGCGTACTGGATTGGCGCCGCCCCGTCGTCCCAGAGCTACCTCCAACAGCAGAAGATCATCGACGTGGCCAAGAAGTCGGGCGCCCAGGTCCGTTGCTTGCATTCGCCAACGTGCAGCTGTGCCATGCACACACACATCATCATCATCATCATCATCATCATCATCATCATCATCATCATCATCATCATGATCATCATCATGATCGTCATCATCATCATCATCATCATCATCATCATCATCATCATCATCATCATCATGATCGTCATCATCATCATCATCGTCTTCATTGCCACCATCTCAGCTCACACTTCAACTTCATCGCCTAACCCTCCGCCTAACCCTCGCCTTTCATCCCCTCCCACCTTGCTCCTTGTCCACCCTTCCTTCCTTCCTCCCTTTCGTAGGGTATCCACCCTGGCTACGGCTTCCTGTCCGAGAACTCCGACTTTGCCAACCTGTGCGAGCAGGAGGTGTGTATGAGCCCGACATTGACACATTTGCCCCCCCCCCCTCTTGCATGTGCGACACACACGTGACGTTCCAGCATGCACACGTGCAAGCACCGTCACTCACCTCTAGCACCACCACCTACACATGTACAACACACACGCCCGCGCGTGTCCCCCGCACGTGCCGACCCCCTCCTCCAGGGCATCACGTTCATTGGCCCGCCGGCGTCTGCCATCCTGTCCATGGGCTCCAAGAGCGAATCAAAGGAGATTATGGAGCCGTCTGGCGTGCCCATCGTCAAAGGTATTTGCACACGAACGCATGTGTGATACACTATCCTGCTGCATGTATAATTACTTCTACCACTCGCAAGCACGTCTTGTCCTCCCCCCGTTCCCGCGCCTCACCGTCATCATTCACCAACCGCCGTATCACCACCCTACTGCTCCACCTTCTCCACCCCCTCACTGCCAGGATACCACGGCGAGAACCAGGACCCGTCGTTTCTCCTTGACCAGGCCCGCGACATTGGATTCCCCGTCCTCATCAAGGCCGGTACGTCCCGCCTACACACACACACACACACACACACACACACACACACACACACACACACACACAGAGCGGTAGTTGTATTGCAAACGTATATGTATCCGTGTTGCTTTGTGTTGCTTGTGTTGTTTTAATGTGTGGCCGTGTCCGTGCCGTGCTGTGCAGCCCCACACATCATTTCATGACCGCTCAAATGCCTCCCCAAACATCCATACACCACCATATGTGCGCATGTGTGTGCCTCATGTGTGTGCGTGTGTGTGCAGTCAAGGGCGGCGGTGGAAAGGGCATGCGTGTCGTCATGCAGGAGAAGGATTTCATGGAGAACCTCGAGATGGCAAAGGTATGGAGTGGTGTTGAAGGCTGCCATGTTTCGTGGTCATGTGTGTCGTGTGTGCGTGCGTGTGCGTGCGTGCGTGTGCGTGTGTGTCGTCGTCGTCGTCATCGTCGTCGTCGTCATAGTGCTCACTTGGTTTCGTTTGTCGACTTCCTTGTGTTTACACAACACCACCACCACCATTATCAGGGCGAGTCCCGCAAGCACTTCAGCGACGACCGCGTTTTGATTGAGAAATACGTCCAGCGCCCACGTCACGTCGAAGTCCAGGTTTGTCTTTGCTGTCACGACAGCCGGTGTGGGAGGGGGCAAGCATGGTGGCACTGCTTTGACGGTGTACTGCTGCCATGGTCGTGCCGACGCGCCGTTGTGCGCTGTTGTTGTTGTTGTTGTTGTTGTTGTTGTTGTTGTTGTTGTTGTTGTTGTTGTTGTTGTTGTTGTTGTTTTTGATGTGGTTTTAGTCCCCTGCCCTTCACTCGTGTGCAGCACCTTTGTTCGGCACACACACACACACACACACACACACGTACAACACACACACCACCCCGCAACAAACCATCTCACCAACAACACCCCCTTTAACCCCCCCCCCCAACCTGCGCCAATTGCCAGGTGTTTGCGGACAAGTACGGCAATGCGGTGTATCTGTTTGAGCGCGACTGCTCGTTGCAGCGCCGCCACCAGAAGATCATCGAGGAGGCGCCCGCGGTGCGTAGTGGTGTCATCAATGAATGGGTGAAGATGGTGGTGATGGTGACTGTACAAATGTTGATGCTGCTGGGGAGTGTTAGTTGTAGACGGAACTCTCTGCGTGTTGGTCGTCGCCCAATGTTCCACTCATTGCCCTGCCCACGCTACCACCACCACCACCACCATACGCCACAACAACCACCACCGCCGCCGCCACCACCACTGTCATCCCCCCCTCGCATGCTACAGCCCGGCCTGTCCCCCGAGCTGCGCAAGGAGCTTGGCGAAGCGGCTGTGCGGGCGGCGCTCGCTGTCGGATATGTTGGCGCCGGCACCGTCGAGTTTATCATGGACACCACCACCCACGAGTTCTTCTTCATGGAGATGAACACCAGGCTGCAGGTGTGTGCACATGCGTGTTGGCTGGTGGCGGCATGATTGCTTGATCCTATGCTGCACCCCCTGGTGTCTCCGTACGCTGTGTTTTGTGCTTGCATGCCGTGATGACCACGGCACCTCAACCCGTCTCGTCTCACCACCACCACCACCACCACCACCACCACCGCCATTGCCAACATCGCCATCGTGATCGACGGCAGGTTGAGCACCCTGTAACGGAGATGGTGACCAACACGGATCTCGTTGAGTGGCAGCTGCTTGTTGCTTCCGGTTATGAGCTTCCCGCAACACAGGTCCGCGTGGTGCCAGGGGCGGTGCTGTTGCTTTGTGATGTTTGCACACGTGGAGTTGTGTCTCGCTGCTCCTATGTCGTTATTGAATATTGCCCGTTGCGTGTGTCCATCGTTCTCACACCACCACCACCACCATGGCCGCAGGATGAGATCCAGCTGCGCGGGCACTCGTTTGAGGCGCGCATCTACGCCGAAAACCCGGACAGCAACTTCCTCCCCGGCTCTGGCCCGCTCTCCTACCTCCGCACGCCAGCAGAGGCCCACGACGTGCGCGTTGAGACGGGCGTTCGCGAGAAGGACGAGGTGTCAATCCACTACGATCCCATGATTGCCAAGCTCGTTGTGTGGGGCGCCGACAGGAGCCAGGCACTCAACAAGCTGCGCACTGAACTCGGCAACTACACTGTGAGTAACGCCATTCGTTTGGTGTTTCGTTTGGTGTGGTGACGGTGTTGCTGAGGTGCGGGTGGTGTTGCGCAGCTGCGCGGCTGTTTCACCCTTCACAGACTCACACGCACTCTCTTGCTGTAATGATTCATCACTCACTCACACACACACTCACTCACTCACGCACTCACTCACACACACACTCACACACACACACACACGCCCACTCACTCACTCACTCACTCACTCACTCACTCACTCACACTCACACACACTCACTCACTCACTCACTCACTCACTCACTCACTCACTCACTCACTCACTCACACACTCACCCATTCACTCACCCACTCCACCACCACCACCACCACCGCCGCTGCCGCCACCACCATCAGATTGCTGGCCTGCCAACAAACATCAATTTCCTGCAGGCCTGCGCGGGGCACCCGGAGTTTGCTGCCGCCAACATCACCACCGACTTCATTGACGATCACAAGAGCGTGCTGCTTCGTGCTGCCGACACCGAGACCGCTGTGCCCAACGATGTGTTTGCAAAGGCCGTGGCTGCCATCATGCACGCCAAGACCCTCGCAGCCCGCACCAACGGTAACCTGACGCCCATCGCAGAGCAGCGTGGCGTGTGTACATGCGTGTGGTATTGAGTTGCACGTGTATGACCGTGTTGCCTTTCATGTGCGCACGCTGGTGCTATTGAAGTCGTTCTCACCCATCTTATATCACCTTGTTGTCTCATTTCACGGCCTTGCTGGTTAGACTCTCCCTGGGACGGTCTGCAGCACTTCCGCCTCAACAGCCACCACGTCGAGAACATCACCCTCCTGGCACACGGAGGTGCGCTCTTGCTTGTCCTTGCTGCCAATGCAAGGCGTTGCTTCCGTTACCGTGCACAGCTTATCACAACATAACTCACACGCACATCACACGCACACTCACACACACACACACACTCACACACACACACACTCACACACACACACACACACACACACACACACACTCACACACACACTCACACACACACACACACACACACACACACTTGCTCACACACTTGCTCACACACTCTCTCACGCACGCACTTTAGTTGAGCACACGGTGAACGTGGAGTGCCTGCCTGGCGACCGGTACACCCTGACGCTGCCCAACGGCACCACAATGGCTGTGGAGGACATTCGCACTTCCGGCGATGGCAGCGATGAGAGTTTTATTGACGTGACCATTGACGGCCACCGCTCCCGCTGCAACGCCGCGCTCCTTGACCACGACGTCCACGTCTTCACAGAGGTCAGACACACATGTGCATGTGCATGTGCATATGCATGTGTTTTTGTCATGTGTGTGCGTGTTTGTTTGTGTGTGTGTGTGTGTGTTGTTTGTGTTTGTGTTTGTGTTTGTGAGTGTGTGTGTGTGTGTTTGTGTGTGTGTGTGTGTTCACATCGTGCGAGCTCTCATGTTGTCTCGTTCACCACCTCCTCTCCCCAATCCCCAATCCCTGCTCCATACTCCTTCCTCTCCCCCTTTCCTTGCACCACTTCCCAACTGCAGGGAAATCACTTTACGTTTTCGCAGCCGCGCGAGTCTTACGAGATGGCGGACAGCGGCGCCGATGATCCGGACAAGGTCGCCGCTCCAATGACCGGCACCGTCGTCAAGGTTTGTGACTCATGACTCTTCTGTGTTGTGCTGTGCCGTGTTGTGCTGTGTTGTGCTGTGCTGTGCATGTCTGTCTGTCTCTGTCTCTCTCTGTCTCTCTCTGTCTCTTCTGTCTCTCTGCCTCTGTCTCTGTCTCTGTCTCTGCCTCTGTCTCTGTCTCTGTCTCTGTCTCTGTCTCTCTCTCTCGCTGTGAGCAATGTCATGTTGCCCGTCCACGCCTACGCGACAAACATCCTCCCCCTCCCCCATGCCCGCATGTCTTCATGCCTTCAGGTGATGGTGACCCCCGGACAGGAGGTCAAGGAAGGCGACACTCTTCTCGTCATGGAGGCCATGAAGATGGAGGTGCGTTTGCGACGCGTGACACAACTTGCTCGTGGACCAGTTTCTGACACAAGGGTATCTTCGTCCCTATTTTTCATCTAATAACTCTTCTCACTCACCCTCGTTCATCACACACACGCACACACACACACACACACACACACACACACACACACACACACACACACACACACAACAACACACACACACACACACACACACACACACA